GGCGGGAGGCGGCGGGAGCGGCTCCGGGGAGGCGGCGGGAGCCGCGGGTGGTGCCGGAGGCGGCGGCGGAGGTGCCGGAGGCGGCGGCGGCGCAGCCGGGCCTGCGCCGGGCTCGGGATCGGGCGGCGGCGCGGCCGCGGGCGAGTCGTGGTACCTGGCGCTGCTGGGCCTGGCCGAGCATTTCCGCACGTCCAGCCCGCCCAAGGTGCGGCTGTGCGTGCACTGCCTGCAGGCCGTGCTGCCCCGCAAGCCCCCGGCCCGCATGGAGGCCCGCACGCACCTCCAGCTCGGCTCCGTCCTCTACCACCACACCCGCAACGGCGACCAGGCCCGCGGGCACCTGGAGAAGGCGGTGAGCGGGACAGGGCGGCTGCGGTGGGCTGGGGAACGGGGAAGAGCCGGGGGCCAGGCCGTGGGGAAAGGGTTGGCAGTGGTGGGAACGGGGCCGTGGGCACTTGGAGAAGGTACAAAGCAGGGGAAGGGGCGGCCGAGGGGGTGCTGGCGGCTGGAAAAGATGGGGAGCAGGGAAAGGGGGCAGTGGGAGGGCAGCAGGGCAGTGCTGGTGGGTTCTAGTGCCAGCCCAACCCGCTGTGTTCTCTTGCAGTGGCTGATATCCCAGCAGGTATCCTTTTCCCGGGATCCAGTCAGGGCTCCGAGCTCGGAACGCCTCCAAGGAAACTCCCAAAACGCCTTCAAGGACCTGGGCTGGGGGCGTGGAGTGGGGTTTTTTAATCCACTTCGTCACTGCTTTCACAAAAGCACAGAGTTTGGGTTGGAAGGGACCTTAGATCCCATCCAGCCCGGTTTTCCTGAGGGTTTTTGGAGGTTTTGCTGCTGTTTCCCACCTGGATTTTGTTGTTTCCTTAACCCCGGTGCCAGATCCCCCAGTTTGAGGATGTGAAGTTTGAGGCAGCCAGTTTGCTGTCGGAGCTCTACTGCCAGGAGGTGAGAGAAACCTCAGAAACCCCTCTGTTCCCCTTGAATTTGGGTTTGGAACTGGATATTCCCGTGAAAAATCACATTTCTGGAATGAGAGGCTTTTTTCCATCCTAACTGAGGAAGTTTTTGCTGGAATTGCGAGAAGAGTTTCCCACTGCAAAAGGATTTTGCTTGGTCAAAGACATTTTTTTAGTTCTCAGTAAAGAAATTCTGATTTTAGGGGAGGAAAATCCAGGATTTTCCTCAGGAATTTGGAATCCTGGAGGGATTTGGGTTGGAAAGGAGCTGAAGGATCGTCCAGTTCCATGGGGAGAGGGCACCTTCCCCTCTCCCAGGTTGCTCCAACCTGGACAATTCCAGGGATGGGGCAGCCCCAGCTGCTCTGGGAATTCTATCCCAGCCCCATCCCACCCTGCCAGGGAGGAATTCCATCCCAAAATCCCATCTGGGAATGCATTCCCTGTGTTCTGTCCCTCCAGTCCTTCTCCAAGGTCTTCCTTTCCGTGTTTTAGGCTCCTTCCTTGGGAAGCCCCACTTGGATCATCCCAAATTTGGTGTTTTGCCGTTGGGCTGATTTCCTCCAAAATCATTTCCTGGGATTTTGAATCCAAATAGCCTGGAATGGTTTGGATTAGAAAGACCTTAAATCCCATCCAATCCCAATTCTGGACACTATCCCAAAATCCCAGATTTCTCCAATCCCATCCAACCCTACCTCAGGCATTCCAAGGACGGAGCAGCCCCAAACTTTTCCTGTTTGATCCCTCATTCCCAACCTTCCCCGGAGGGCTCAGTGTGATTATCCCGGGAATTCCAAGGCTGTGGAATTCCAGGATCCCGGATTTCCGTTGACTGGGGGTGTTTGTGTTGCAGAATTCCGTGGACACGGCCAAGCCCCTGCTGCGCAAAGCCATCCAGATCTCCCAGCAAACTCCCTACTGGCACTGCAGGCTGCTCTTCCAGCTGGCTGTGAGTCCTTGGAGCGGCAATTCCTTGGGAAAAAAAACCTTGGAAAAACCCTGTATTCCCGTTAAAAGCAGCGTGGAAGCTTTTTGTTCTGTTATCCCCTAAAAAGTCGCTGTTATTTGATGCCTTTTAGCTTTTTAACGCCGCAGATTCCTTTGGAAAATGGATCTAAAACCCCTTTGAGGAGCAGGGATTTGCAAATCCAGGGGTTAACGACGTTTTCTTGGGATTCATGGAGCAAATCCTGAGTTTTTATGGCATTTTTATTTTCCCATTTCAGCAACTCCACACCCTGGAGAAGGATTTGGTGTCGGCCTGCGACCTGCTGGGCGTGGGGGCCGAGTACGCCCGCGTGGTGGGCTCCGAATACACCAGGTGCTGATTCCCAGGATTTCCTGGCTGAATTCCTGCCATTTCCTGCCTGAATTCCTGGGATTTCATCCTTGAGTTCCCTGGGATTTCCCGCCTGAATTCTCTGCTATTTCCTGCCTGAGTTCACTGGGATTTCATCCCTGAGGTCCCTGGGGTTTCATCCCTGAGTTCCCTGGGATTTCATCCCTGAATTCCCTGGGATTTCCTCCCTGAATTCCCTGGGGTTTCATCCCTGAATTCTCTGGGATTTCCTCCCTGAATTCCCTGGGGTTTCATCCCTGAGTTCCCTGGATTTCCTGGCCAAATTCCTGCCATTTCCTGCCTGAATTCCCTGTGCTGTCATTCTTGAATTCCTTGGAGTTTCCTGCCTGAATTCCTTGGGATTTCATGCCTGACTTCCCTGTGACTTTCTCCTTGGATTTCCTGCTTGAATTCCCTTGAATTTATTCCTTGAATTCCTTGAGATTTCCTGATGGAATTGCTGGAATTTCCTCCCTGAATTCCCTAGGATTTCCTCCTCAAGTTCCCTAGGATTTCCTGCCTGAGTTTCCTAGAATTTCTTCCTTGAGTCCCCTGGGATTTCCTGCTGGAATTCCTGGGATTTCCTCCCTGAATTCTCTGGAATTTCCTCCCCAAATTCTCTAGAACTTCCTCCTTGACTTCCCTGGGAATTCCTCTATCAGCTCCCTTAATCCTCATTTTTCCCTGGTTTTAGAGGGAGAAAAAGTCAGATTTTTATTTTTTCCTGCTGTTTTTTTTTTTGGAGGGGGGAGATGGAGTAATTTCTTTTGGAATTTCACTTTGTTTTCTTTCATTCCAGAGCCCTCTTCCTGCTCAGCAAGGGGATGGTGAGTTGGAAGATGTTTTTTAAATAAATTATTTCCCGTTTAATTCTAAGTTCCAAAGGATTTTTTTAGGGGGGGAGGGGATAAGCAGGATTCTTATGGATAAATTCAGCTTTTTCCCCTCATTTTTTTTTTTTTCCTGGGAAAAATAAAAGGATCATTGGAAATTTTCCCTGGAGCTTTTGAGGGAGGGAAAAGCTGGTGAGGTGAAATCAGCTGAACATCCCAATCCTAATTCCTGGAATTAGAGAATCCACGGAATTACTCGCCTTGGAAAAAACCAGCGACGCGCCTTCCGCTATCCCAGTCTGCTCCAACCTACCTTTGGGCAATTCCAGGGGTGAAGCAGCCACGTTTTCCAGGGGGAAACTCATTCCCTGAGTGTTCATCCTGGGGGAAAAACGGGATTTTCCCTTGGGAATTGCAGCTGCTGCTGATGGAGAGGAAGCTGCAGGAGGTTCACCCGCTGCTGACGCTGTGCGGGCAGATCGTGGAGAACTGGCAGGGCAATCCCATCCAGAAGGAATCCCTCCGAGTCTTCTTCCTGGTCCTGCAGGTCACACATTACCTGGATGCTGGCCAGGTACGCGCCACGTTCCACGCTGGGAATTTGGGAGAGGAATTTTTATTTTTTGGGAATTTCCCCCCCAAAAAAAATAACCGGCCCCGAGGGGATTTTTTTTGATCGTGGGAGCAAATTTTTGTTGGCTTTAAAACCAAATTAAAGGAAGAGTAAGGAGATTATATTAATTTGGGGGTGTTGTCTGTGGTGTTTTGATATCCATGGTGGTCTCTGTTGATTCCATGGGGTGTTGGAGGGGATAGCGGGAATTTTTTGGGGGATTTTGGGAATATTTTGAGCACCTCTTGCTGCTGTTCACCGTGAAGCGCCGAGCTCATCAGTGCCAAAACCAACCCAAACCTCTAAACCAAACCCCCTAAATCCGGGAATTACCACCCCCCTTGGGAAGTTTCCCTTCTCCAGAGCATTCCAGCAGCGGGAATGTGAGGAATTCCCGCTGGGAATTGTCCCCCGGGGCAGGTGAAGAGCGTGAAGCCGTGCCTGAAGCAGCTGCAGCAGTGCATCCAGACCATCTCCACCCTGCACGACGACGAGATCCTGCCCAGCAACCCCGCCGACCTCTTCCACTGGCTGCCCAAGGAGCACATGTGTGTGCTGGTCTACCTGGTGAGAGCTCCTCGTTAGCGCTAATTGCTAATTAACGAGGGGTCACGGTTCCGAGCCAGCAGGGAGGGGTTTGGGAGCTGCTTCCGGCTGGTTTTCCCTCAGCGTCTGTGGGGTGATGCTGAGGGGGCTGCTCGGGGTGTGAGGAGATTCCAGGCTGGAAATGGGGGCTGATTAACTGATTATTAATGAATTCATTAATCAATGCCCCAGTCAAGTGAAAATGGAGGTATTTGTGCAGTTTGGCTTAATTTTCTCAGCTGCTTTGTGCTGGTTTTCCCTCTGCGTGTGTGGGGTGATGCTGAGGGGGCTGCTCAGGGTGTGAGGAGATTCCAGGCTGGAAATGGGAGTTAATGAGTAAATAATTAATTAATTGATTAATTAGTGCCCCAGTCAAGTGAAAATGGAGGTACCTGTACAATTTGGCTTAATTTTCTCAGCTGCTTTGTGCTGGTTTTCCCTCTGCGTGTGTGGGGTGATGCTGAGGGGGCTGCTCGGGGTGTGAGGAGATTCCAGGCTGGAAATGGGGGCTGATTAACTGATTATTAATGAATTCATTAATCAATGCCCCAGTCAAGTGAAAATGGAGGTACCTGTACAATTTGGCTTAATTTTCTCAGCTGCTTTGTGCTGGTTTTCCCTCTGTGTGTGTGGGGTGATTCTGAGGGAAGTGCTCAATGTGTGAGGAGATTCCAGACTGGAAATGGGAATTAATGAATAAATAATTAATTGATTTATTAATTAGGACCTGACTCAGATGGAAATGGAGTTATTTATACAAATCAGGCCACTTTGGCTTAATTTTCTTAACATGAGGGGAGCTAGACTTGGAATCACTGAAGGATTTTTGTTCCATTTCTTGGAGATGATTCCAGCGTTAATGGCATTAAAAATCTGGGATTTGAGGAATTCTGTGAATTCCCAGCCTTTCCCTCTCCGCACAGATAAATTTTGGGATTCGTGGAATGGTTGGAGGTGGGAAAGAGCTTAAAAATCATCCATTCCCACCCTCTCAATCCCACCTGCCACCATCCTGGGATGCTCCAAAACTTCCCAGGGAAGTTCCTGTGGGAATTCCATGCCAGGGGAATTCCCGAGGTGGATAATCCATACTGTGCTTCCCTGCAGGTGACAGTGATGCATTCCATGCAGGCAGGGTACCTGGAGAAGGCTCAGAAATACACGGACAAAGCCCTCATGCAGCTGGAGAAGCTCAAAAGTAAGGAAAAAGGGGTCGGAATTCAGCTGGATTCCAGGGAAATCCAGGAAAATCCCGTGATTTATTCCTCATTTAAACCTATCCCTCAGCTTTGTTGAGCTGCTGGGTCAGCCTAAGACTAAAACTAAGATTAAAAACCTGATTTTAAGGCCGGGTGGTGACTTTGGAGTACAAAAACCCCCAGCTTTTTGGGGTTTTTTTGGGGGTTTTTTTGTGGGATTTGAAACATTCCTTAAATCCGTGATGGAATTCTTCCTGCTCCTCTCCCAGTGCTGGACTGCAGCCCCATCCTGTCCTCATTCCAAGTGATTTTGTTGGAACACATCATCATGTGCAGGCTGGTGACGGGACACAAAGCCACAGCCCTGCAGGAGGTAACGTGGGAATTCCAGCGTTTCCTGCCCGGGAATGGCTCCCAAAAAATGGGAATACTCTGCAGGAACAGCTTTTATAATGTGGGAATTGCAGGTTTGGGCTCAGGTGGGAATTCCTGCTGGGTTATTCGTGGATACAGCCAGGCTTGGTGGTGCTCAGGACATGGAAAATGTGGGATTGGCTCCTCTTAAATATTTAGTTAAGGATACTTTGGAATTGATCATGGAATGATCAATAGTTGATTCGAATTGGGGGGAATTCCAGGCTGGTTTTTTTCCCATTCCATCCATTCCAGGGTGGCACCTTCCTCTTCCTGTTCCTGCCTTGTCCAGGTGTTTCCCAGTTTTTAACATTCCTGCTTTTCCTTCTCTTTCCTGGTTGTGTTGTTCCAGAGGAACCTGGACTTTTTTTTTCCCATTTTTCCAATCATTTTAAAATCCTGGGAATCCATCCCGGGACTGCATCATCCAGTCCCTGCTGGCAGCTTTACTGGGAATGTGCTGGGAATGGGGAGAGATTCATCCTCCTCTTTCTGCTCATCCCAATCCCAGATTTTGGAAGGCTTTATCCCACTTTTCCTGGAAAATCTGGAGCATTTCGGGAGGGATCTGTGGCTGTGAATTCCAGGGGGTGGAGGAAACCATTCCAAACCAGCTGGAATGTGGGAGGAATGCCAGGAAATCCCTTCTCCTGTGCTGGAATCACACCCAGCCTCCCCTTTTATCCCGGATTCGAGATCCAGGAGCCAATCCCTGGATCCAAGAGGAGCGCAAGGAGCGGGATTTAGAGCAGAAAATGGTGGGGGAAAATGCCCAAAATTGGGAATTCCGTTCTTTCCCAGATTTCCCAGGTCTGCCAGCTGTGCCAGCAGTCTCCCAGGCTCTTTTCCAACCACGCTGCCCAGCTGCACACGCTCCTGGTGAGTTCTTGGGATGAAACCTGGGAATTCCGGAGGGAGATTCCCTGGGAATGACCGGATCTGCATCATCCACGGCTGGGGGGGGCTCATTCCAGGCTTAAAACCCTTGGGAAAAAGAATTCCAGGATGGTTTGGGTGGGTAGGGGGCACTTCCCACTATCCCAAGTTGTTCCAGCAAATCCCACTTCTCTGAGGAGAGAATTCCTGGGATTTGGCTTTTCCTGGGTATTTTTGCCATCAAGGCCTTGTCTGGCAGCAGCTCCTTCATGAAGGGAGTGGGAATTTTGGAGGAATCAGCTGGAAAAAGGGAAATCCAGGGATTTCGACTGTGCCCACTGGAGATGGCTTTTTGTGGGAATTGTGGAAGAGTTTTTGTGGGGAATACTGAGTTTTCCATGATTTTAAGGAAGGTTTTTTGGCTAAATTAAGCTTTGTTTTCCATGAATAATTTGTTTTAAAGGACATTTTGTAGAAATTCCTTGTTTTCCCCACACCTGAGACTTGCTGGTCCCTTTTTCCCGCTGCTATCCCAATATTTCCATGGATTTGGGCATGTTTTGGGCTGCATTCCCAAAAATACCCTTTCTTTTCCAGGGTCTCTACTGCATCTCTGTCAACTGCATGGACAATGCAGAAGCACAATTCACTACAGCACTGAGGGTGAGATTTTATTCCCAAATTTTCTTCTGGAAACTCGGGAATGGGTCTTGGGAATGGCAATGTGAATTTGGAAGGGAAATCTCCCTTAATTCCATTATTTATCAGTGATTTTCCATGGATCATGGGGGGATTTCTAACACCAAAATATCGATACGGGATTTTTTAGCCAGGATTTTTTTCTGGGAATGAGCAAATCCTGGGGGAAAGACTGAAATATTTGGGAATTTTCTCCTTTCCAGCTCACAACCCACCAGGAGCTGTGGGCATTTATTGTCACCAACCTGGCCAGCGTCTACATCCGGGAAGGGAATCGGCACCAGGAGGTGAGCTGGGGGCTCCCCAAATCCTGCTTTTCTGTGGAGAAAATTCCTGGGATTTGGCTTTTCCCAGGCATTTTTGCCATCAAGGCCTTGCTGGCAGCAACTCTGAAATGAGGGGAGGTAGAAATCCCTTTTTCCTGTGGAGAAAATTCCTGGGATTTGGCTTTTCCCAGGCATTTTTGCCATCAAGGCCTTGCTGGCAGCAACTCTGTCATGAGGGGAGGTAGAAATCCCTTTTTCCTGTGGAGAAAATTCCTGGGATTTGGCTTTTCCCAGGCATTTTTGCCATCAAGGCCTTGCTGGCAGCAACTCTGT